CTATTGTTCAGGTGCAAATTATGTTTCCGTTGGATGACGATGAGCTGAGAGTATTAATATTTCATCTGTCACAAAGACACACACACACACATTATCACACAGAGCTCGCAGAAAGCCGACATTAGTCCTGAAAAGATGATCAATACAACACAAACCATCTGCTCGCTCTCCAAACAGCCACCACAGTGGGAGGTGCTAGATGCATGTGAGGGAAGTCTGCCTCTCAGTTTGTGTTTGGTGCATTATATTTGTGTGTATGTGTGTGTGTGTCTCTGTGTGCTGGTGTGTGTGTGTGTGTGTTTGCTGCAGTGCCCCTGCTGAAGGGCGAACAGTAAGGCCCTGGTCAGCATGATGTAGGTCTCCTGGGATGTCCTGGGGTTTTTGAATCAATAATTTTCCTCCTGCATCTCCGAGCCTCACTGTCCTCACCCCTCCTCACCCCCTGGCTTGACTTTGGGCTATTTATGGTATCTCTATGGATTAACAAGACCCCAACAATCAATGGGCCAAACTTACTATCACTGTACTCTCCCTCCTCTTCTTGCTTTGTATCTCTGCTTGTGTCAGCTCATTTTCTCTGGTAAACTTTTAGTCCGTGTAGTTTCTCTTATTGTCCTGAAATATCCAAACTACAAGGTGTGTAACATCACAAACACACTGTCCCACAAATAGAAACAAAAGCCAAGGGGATATCATTTCTAATGCAGGTGAAATGTGATATGATCTTTGTTTATATAAGGATTCACAGAGAGATAATGACCTTTCGCTGGTGAAGTGTGTGTTACTTTTAGGTCTAAGTGGGGGTTTTTTTTGCACCCATTTGGTAGCTTTTGTAGCTTGCTATGACACCACTTTGAGTTTGCTGAAGAGGGGAGTTTCAGGAGAAATTCTGTCGCCCACAGTGCAAATTGGTGTAAAAAACATTTGTAGCAACGCCTGTCCAGACCACATCTTAGTTCAAGTGCTGGTGTAATTGTGCTATTTTTGTGGCTTTATATGGCAAATTCAGACCGACATCAACCTCTTCAGAGTCAAATAAACCTCTTTTATACATGTCAAGTTTGTCTGCTTTACTTTTCCACCAGTAACTCACTGAATGCAGCCTTTTAAAAAAATCTCTTATACAGTATACAAGGGGACACAGGCAAGTTTGTTAGGTCTGCACATTTCATTACTGTGTAAATTTTCCAGCTGCAGAGATGTGTCACAAAAACTGTAGTGTCATTACAAAAGAATGACTAAAACGTATGTCTCTGGGTGCCACTGATGCCTGCCTCAACATCACTAAATGATAACTTGTTTGTCCTAATCAGTCCTCTTTTACAACTGCACCTGAACCAGCTCTGTGATGGTATACTAACTACCAAAACATCGGTTTTATATAATTACTAATTACAAAATGCTGAGTTAACACAGTGGCATAAGTTGACAAAATGACATAAAATTAATCAGCAACTAGTGTCACAGTCAATTTATTGCCTTTAATCAATAGTGACAGTGCAGCAGCGACTTAGCCTTGGCGCCAACTCTACTGGTTGAGCCCAGTCGATTAATTGTTGATTCTTTTAGCAAAAATACCAACATTTCAAAGTTCCAGTTTCTTTACAGTGAAGGATTGGATGCTTTTACTTGTCTTAAATTGTATTAAACTAAATATTTTGGGGCCCTATTGGACTATTGAACAACACAAGCCATTTGAAGTTGTCACTTAGGTCTCTGGAAAATCTTGATGGTCATTTCTCTGTCTTTTCTGACATTCTACAGAATGAACAACGAGCAGCTACCCTTTCTATCTATCTAACCAACATATCATATACCGCCGTTCAACAGCACACACTTGCTATATCTGATATCATGATTTGTAAACCATCTGTAGTCATTGTGGTTTGCTCCTCGCTGCAACAATAGCTCAGAGTCGAGCACAATGGCACCCTGACCCCCCGTTTCCTTTAGTGGCAATCCTGATTAGCTAAGTGACAAGCTTCTCCCATGCCATTGTTAATGTATTAGTGTCTTGAATCCCTGTGGAGGGCAGTAACTCCACTCAGCTAATCATTTAGTGATGGTTATCATTCAGTTGTTCATTGTTAAGAGGCTGGGAGATACTTTAGATATGGAGTGGAGAGGGAGAGTCTGTCACAGCCACACACATATCACAAGTTTTAGCGTTGTAACGCATGAGAGTCAGAATAGGATGAAGATTGAAACAGGAGCAATGTTTTTGAGTAAGGTTGAGTAAGCTTTTATAGTTAACTAAAACTAAACCAAAAACTTAAACAAGGTTTAAAGAAACTATTTAAAGGAAATAAACCAAATTTCAGTTGAAACAATATTGTGTAAAACTAAATTAAAATATACAGGAAATGTCTTAGTCTTTGTCAAGTTGGTCAAATTTGTGCAAACATGCGTGAGGAGGCGTCGGTGCATATGTTTATTGAGTCTCCATGACTGTGAGCCAACGTGTTTATATTATAGTACCTAAACCAAAAAATAAACATTTTAAGCAATAAAAAATAGCAAACCCACTCTGGAAACTTAAC